TGTGTGTGACCTCCACAGAGCCCACTGGAAGTGGGTGGTATTATACCAGGGCTTTCACCTGTGAAAACAGAAGAGCAGAGGTCAGAGCCCCCGTGAGGCCACAGGGCGTCCTTGAGGCAGGGCCCCAAACTCACGTCCTTGAGGCAGGGCCCCAAACTCACGTTTCGCTCCCCAGGAAGATTTCGTGTTAAAATGTTTAAGGTGCGGGGAACATTGGGCCGGGTCATTTTTTCACAAGGTCACAAAGCTCTTTGGAAGGTGCACTATGTCTCCATCAGAGCAAGAAACCTGCACCTTTGTGGTTAAAATCCTTGCCGGAATATTCATTGACCTCAACTCGCAGGACGAAAAAGAAAACTCATTCACGGAGTTCCACCCCAATGCTGTGAAAGCCCCAGGCACTACTTGGAGTCAGCCCTACCCAGCGCTCTGGCCCCATCCCAGATGGGAGGTTATTCTCCAGGAGGGGAGAGAGGCTGGAGACATCAAGTGACCCATCGATGTCACCCAACCCGGGCCAGTATAAATGTCGCTTTTGGCCTCAACTCTGACCTCCAGCTTTTCCAGCTCACCAGGCTGGTTTCCAGTAGACCAACCCCTAACTGTCATGGTCAGAGAGAAAATTCCCTGACCCAAGAATGCTGGAGACGTTCTCTTTTGTTGCTAGAAAGGAAACAGCAGTAGAACTGTCTCCAAAGGGTCCCTTCCGAGGGCGGAGCCCCGAAAGGGGAGGTCTCGGCATTCCTGGGGATGGAGCGGGCAGGCCTGAGGTCCCAATACACACCCTCCATCCATTTGATGCTTTTGGCCCTGAGGAATCCCCATCATGGAGCTGCTCAGGAGGGCAGGAGCTGTGGAGGGACAGGAAGTGTCTTCAAGTGCAAATTCCACACCTGTACATACATGTATTTCCCTGTCTTGGCCTCCAGTGCCTACCCCCCCCCCCCCCACACTGCACAGGGTTAGGACACTGAGGAGATCTTCAGGTGCCCAAGCAGAAATGGGGTGGGTGGGCTGGAGTTGCAGGAATGTGGGAAGGGCTCCCTACGTGGAATTAAATGAAAAAGCATTTGTAAATTGTCTGGCCCAGGGCTTAGCCCATGGGAGATTATCAACAAATAGGAATTTCGCCCCCCACCACCATCCCCAGCTGGACCCAGGAATCAGGTCACACTGGGAGTGGTCTGAGAAGTCAGGACCCTGAGTGGGGTGCTGCCCCACTCAGGCCAGCTGTGCCCAGGTGTTTAGGGTGCATGCCGGGCCTATTCTGTGCTAAATCCTTTTTCTGTAAAGAGGCATTGTGTAGAGAGGAGCCCTGGGCTGTAGCTGTTAATGAGCGGGGGGTGGAGGGATCCACGCAGTTGGGGGCGGCCCTCCTGATAAAGCCACGGGGATGTGTACAGAGCCCCTCTGTCTGTTGGTGGTCCGGGCGGCTCTCATCCTCAGCCGGCAGAGAACAGAGCAGCACCCTCTGCTAATTATCTACCTTCCAGGGGATTCCCTCCTCCAATTTGGGGATTTGGGGTGGGGAGGAGGACAGCCGGTGCTGCTAATTGGTGTCTTCCCAAGAACCCTAGATTGAGTCTGGGGATTACGCTAAGGAGGTGAGGAGGTAGTGCCCAAAATAAACACAAGCGCCCTTCCTAAGTGCATTCTTGCCAGCAAGTTAAATAATCCAGCCCCTGGAGCCTGTTCCTAAAAGATTTAAATGCTAATTCAGGGGAGGGGGACGGGCGGAAGGCGTAGTAGATTTCTACCGATTCTGACTTCTTCTGACATCTTTTAAAGGCTTCGTTTCTGAGCCGTTTGATTCCCTTTGACGATTGTCAAGTTAAGTTTACTAAAAACTGGAGAAGACTTTGTTCCAGGGTGGGGGGGGATGGAGGGGGGCCGCTGGATTAGAAACATGAGCTGGTCCCCAGCTTGTCCATCCGCCCTGGCATCATTTTCTTTCTGCGTTTCTGAAAGGCTCCGAGTAATCAGTTCCAGAGGACAGGCTGGGGGAACCTTGGCAAAGGGGCCTCGCTCTTGGCTATCACTTTGGGTATTTTATGCAGCTCATAGAGCTGCGATAGAGCCCAAAATGTGGGCACTTGGAAATCTAGGGGCCCATCTGAATTGATGTTCTGATGTGCACCCTCTCCCAGAGAGCAGCTCTCCGGAGGCCCTCGAGGGAGGCGTTGACGTTCAGGTTTCTAAGCGAGGAGTTTTGCATCAGTTTTCATGCTCCACAGGAAGGAAAGGTCTTGAGAACTGGCTGATAACAGCCTACGTTTACTGAGCATCTACTGTGTGCCCAATGCCGCAGCTCCGTGCTGGCGCTCCCTCTCTCATTTGACCCCAACCATGGACAGCCCGGTGAGGAAAGGCCTAGCATCGTCCCCATTTCCCAGAGGAGGTCACTGAGGCTCATGGGTGTCCAGCACTTGCCCATAGGCAGTCCGTGGGGGGCGGCAGGCAGGGCCCCGAGCTCCGCTCCAGTGAAGGAATTCTTTCCCAGTTGGCCTGTCTCCTGAATGCATTCCATGCTGCACTGAGCCTCATCCTTGGGTGGCTGGGCTGGATCCTGAGGAGAGATGGATGTGAAGTTTTCTAAGGCAGAGTCCCAGAATGACAGAGGCATGAGCTGTGTCCCCATCACAATGCTCCCCGCTCCCGGCCAAGTGGTCAGTTAGTCTCTAGGTGTTCTCGTCCAACGACAAGCATCTCATCTCTCCCTAAGGCAGGCACACCGTCTGAAGGCAGCTCTGGCTGGTTGAAGCTTTTTCTGGGCTGAGCTCGCAGCCTGGTAGGTTCTCCCAGCCTTCAGGAAGGCTCTGGCTTCCCCCCTGACCCCCACCACCGCCAGACCCAGGAGACGCCTGGCTGTCTCCTTCCTGCAGACATAAAGAGATCATTCCCAAGCCTCCTCCCACCCACCACTTCTTATTTCGCACATTTCTTTTAAACCGATGACAGCAGAAAGCTGAGAAGAAACCAGGCTTTTCTGTGTAACTCACTTGAGAACCGCTTTGAAGTCATCCTAAGGGTGTTCTCCCCTCCTCAGCACAGTGTCCACAGGACGTATGAAGACAGACATGTTTGGTGGCCACCTTTGGATTCACTGCAAAGAGATTAGCTCTGGGCCCCGAGGCTGAAGCCGGGGTGCTTAGCTCTGGCCCTGCCACTTACTGTCTGTGACCCTGGACTAGTCACTTCCCCTCTCTGAAATTCTATGAAATGGCATTATTATCTCCCCTCATCGGGCCGTGAGGGTCAAATGACAGAAGTCTTGAATGGCCAAGGGCTGCGTTGTAAGAGTTGTCATCTGCATGTGTACATGGAAGCTTGAAATTTCCAAGACCATCAGGGTACCAGCACATAGCGATGCTTAGCTTGTCCATATTTGTCCAAGGAATGAATAAAATGATACACGGTTGCCCCTTAAATAGCATGGGTTCAAACTGTGTGGGTCCACTTATTTGCACATTTTTTCTTTTTTTTTTTAAGATTTTATTTTATTTATTTGAGAGAGAGAGGGAGGGAGGGAGAGAAAGCACAAGCAGGGGCAAGGGTGGAGGGAAAGGCAGAAACAGATTCCCCGCTGAGCAGGGTGCCCGATGCGGGACTCCATCCCAGGACCCTGGGATCATGACCTGAGCCGAAGGCAGTCGCTTAACCAACTGAGGCACCCAGGAGCCCGTGCACATTTTTTTTTTCAATGAGTACATAAGAAAGATGTTTGGAGATTTGCGACAATTTGAAAAAAAACAGATGAACCGCAGAGCCAGGAAATAACAAAAAATCTCTGAAAAGTTAGGTATTATCGTAGGAATACGTTATATAATACATATAACATACAGAGTATGTGTTGATTGACAGTTTATGCTATCAGGAAGGCTTCCGGTCAATAGTAGGCTATTAGTAGCTTAATTTAGGGGAGTCAAAAGGTATACTTGAATTTTCAACTGTGTCGGGGTTTGGTGCCCCGAACCCCCACGTTGTTCAACCGTATATGCGTCCTGGCTAGAAAGCCAGGAAACAACTTCAGGTTAGTTAAGTGAGCTTGAGTTACACGTTGCCTCCCTAAGACTTCGGTGTCCACTGACCAACCCACGGGGGACAGCCAGTGCCCGGCACAGACTAGGTGCAAAACAGCTCATTGCTGGCTGTCCTCTCTCCCCTCCCCTTTCTCATCCCTATTTGAAGATAAAAATATTGCAGCTGCTGTGACGTAAAATTCAATGCATTTTTTTTTTTTTTAGCGTTTAGCAAAGAGGTGACAAGTAGCCTTGCAGAAACACCATAATCAGAACGTTGTGGCTCTTGCAAATCTGAGGCCACGTATGTGTCACTGTGCTCTCTGTGGAAATAATTGTTTTCCAAGTGGCTGTTCCTCAGGTAACCTGATGTTGACTGCAATAATGCAATTTTCATATCGAAATGTTGTTCCAGAGGGAGGGTGTCTATTTCCCTTAGGCTTGTTGAAACCCAATCTACAGGAAAGGACGTTATAACAGAATTGGAGGTTAAATTTCATTTGCTGATTTAATAAAAACTAACAGGATGGATTTGGGGATATTTCATTAATCTTTCTTTCCTTTCAGTGCAAAGGAAATTAAGTTCACTCTAGTTCAAACTTTGTTTCACTCTTATACAGGGCCTGCCAATGTCCACTTTCTCTCTGGCAAGTTAAAACCTAATTAGTCACAGAAAATTCTTCCCTGACCCTGTCACCGTGAGCAGGAAAGCACCGAGCAGCAGGCACGGTGCCTCACGTACGCGTGTGCACGCATGTGCTCACACACACACACGCACGCACACACTCCTGTCACCCTCTGCTGAGTCTTGTTTTTATTATCAGTGGCTTCTACAATCTGGGTGTGATGACATTCCTAAAAACGTATTGACAGGATGTGAGTTTTGCAGACGCTCTTGCCAGGGCTTCATCACGTGACTATTAGACCATCCCTAGATGGGTCTTGCTTCACTTGCAGAATAGGCGGGGACTCTTTCGAAATGGAAACAATATCTTTTCCATTAGAGGCTGGCTATTCAGCTTTTAAATGTCAACTCTGAATTTTTACTTCACCGAATAAATTGCAGGGGGGAGTATGTAAGGCAGTGAAGGTAGAAGAGGAGAAGGGGTAAGCCCCAGGCTGGCTGGATCCACTGAGCCCACACTGGAGCTCTGGCTCTGTTGATGATTAGCTGTGTGCCTTTGGGTGAATGACTTAACCTCTCTGAGTCTGGGTTTTCCCTGCTGGAAAATGGGAATAGATAATCCCCAGTCTACCTGCCTCAGAGAGGGAGTGGGGAGGTCCAGAATGGCCCTTCGGGGTTCAGCCTCCTGGCCACTCTCAGAGTGCTGTACTCTGGCTAACCCAGAACCCCTCTCCCTCTTAATCATGGTGCTCTGTCTCCATGCAGCTCTGATCATGCACCGTGCGTCGCCGTCCGCTGACTGCCTCTCCCTCACTCCCACGGACGAGTTCCAGGAAGGTGGGCATGCTCTCTGTGCCCCACTGTCAGCCAGCCCCCAGACCTGTGGCTGGGACACGGGAGACCCCCAAAAGGCATTTGATGAACGAGGAAATGTGTGCCCAGGAACGCCCTTTGTAAACTATGATGCGCTGGAGTGATGTCATAGTCACCCCCAGGTGAGACATGATTGTGGAAATGTGACATATTTATGGTGAATGTGCATCTAGTCTTTCTCGGTCGTCTGGAGTTGGCAGCCTTGAGCGCCCCTGGAGTTTTAGGGATGCAATGGATGCTCATGGCTTTGAAGCGTCTCTTCTTAAGGTAGGTGGTATTTCCTGTATTTCCAAAGATTCCAGGGTAGAAACCATTGCTGCTTGAGGGGGCACCATTTCTTGCCTGCAGAAGTCTTTGTGATGTAGAAAGTGCCCCAGATACTGGACGGTTTATTTTTATTTTTTTTAAAGATTTATTTATTTATTTGGGGGGTGGGGGGAGGGGTAGAGGGAGAGGGAGAGAGAGCATCTGAAGCAGACGCTGCACTGAGCACAGAGCCCGACGTGGGACTCGATCTCACAAACCCAAGATCATGACCTGAGCCGAAACCAAGAGTTGGACGCTTAATGGACTGAGCCACCCAGGCGCCCCACTGGATGGTTTAGACTCCTGGTGGACACAGGCCTGTGGAGTAGCTTCTGGGCCTGTCACCTCAGCCTTCTAGAGGGGTGCACGGTGCAGAGGAAAGTGAGAAGGACAGGTCCCACCTTCACCTCTGCTTGTGTCCTTGTGACCCACGTGGTCTGGGCAGCTTCTTAAATCCTCCCGAGCCTCAGTTTCCTCGTCTGTAAACTGGGGATGGTATCGTGCTGGCCTGGGGTCTGAATGGGGATTACAGGAGGTAGCAGGTGTTTGGAAGGTCTTTGGAAGGCTCGCCCTGCAGCATGAATCTGCGGAGCCCGTGGCCCCGGCGGGAGTTCTGGTCCAAACTGTCTGCTGTGCGGGCTGGACTGGGTTCCCTCTAGCCTGGTCCCTGCCACTCGCACCCAGGGCCCACCTGGTGCCACCCTGCCCAATAACTGGTCCTCCGTGGACCCAGCGGTGGGGTGGAGGACAGACAGTGTGCACCGCTGCCCTGGGGAGCACATCTTGCCTCCTCACTTCGCACTCGCGAACATTTCTGTTCTGCCTCCTGCATCATTAGGGTTAAATCTTGTAGCTGAAGCATTGGGAGTGAGCTGGGGCCCCAGGGCCTCTGGGAACAGCTATGGATTTTTCTCCTCATTTAAAAAGTGAGCCTAAACATCCTTGTCCTGTGCCTTCTCCCGGGGTCACACTGGGGGGATAAAGTGGAACAACACCAATGAAAGTAAAACCAGGCACATTGAAGAGTTTGGGCTCCTTAGTCCTCCTTCTGGGGCCCCACAGGGCTGCTCGAGGCACAGGGGCGGGGCGGCAGGCAGGAGTGAATAGATGGCAAATAATACAACTCGGCGGGTAGGAATGTTCTTACTAAGCATTTATCGTAGGCCAGGCACTGGGCCGCGTCCTTCATCACAGCAAATCCTCCTACGAAGGAGACACTAGTATTTGCCTCTCCATTTTGCAGATTGGGAAGCTGAGGCTCAGAGGTCACACGGGTTTGGAGGCTGCAAAACCAGGCTTGACCTCTGCTGCCCGTGACGGGCTGTGTGCTGTCCACTTCTCCCTGCCAAGAGGGGAGGCAAGAAGAAGCCTGAGTTACGGGGCTTTGAACTTGGTCTTGAAAGGAGGAGGGGAGTTGATTGCGCAATGAAGATGGGGAGGGCTGTGTCAGGAGCAGGGCGGGTGGGCAGGCTCCCGGCTGGAGTGGTCAGGAAACCTACCCAGAGGACATGAGGCTGGAGCTGGACTTAGAAGGGTGGGTGGCAGGCAGAGGGTAGAGGAGGTCCTCTGGGAGATGAGCTTGCAGGAAGGATGGGGGAGAGTGGCTACAGATGGGGTCAAGGCAGAGGAGGCCAGGGTCCACTGGAGTCTCCTAAGAGCATAAGCTGGTTGCCCAGGAAGGTTTATCCAAGGAGGGACAGGCCTCCCTGTCTCCTCCTCCTCCCCGACTTGAGCCCCCACTTCTGCATGCCTGCCACCATGACTGTTACCCCTTCTGAGAGATGGGGAGGCTGAGGCTCGGAGAGCCTAAATCCCCCAGGGTCACAGGGTCACAGCCAGCGTAGCCCTGGCTTTGGAATCCAAGGTGTCCAAGCCTGAGTCATTCCCCCTCCACGGTGCCGAGCTGCCCTCCCTGGCCATCTCCCCCGAGCCCCGGCACAAGGGGACCGACCAGAGGGTCCTCAGGGTTCAAGGGGGATGAGTCTGAATGGATGGGCCCTAGACCCCAAACCCCAACCAGAAAAGGTCCACTTCTGTCTTATTGCTGAAGTCTCTTTGAAGAAATGTCTGCCCCTCGTGGTTCAGCGGGACAAATTAAGCCCCAGGGAGCGGACGTGACTTGCCCGTGAACCCACACTGAGGTGGAGCTGCTGAGACTCCCAGGCCAGTGCCCCTTGGAATGGACTTGCTCGTGTGCCCCCTTAGACATGAGAGGGACACTCCAGGCTCCTTGTCCCCTCCCGTACGGTCCACTGCTGCCACCTTTGTCCAGACCTCACCCTGCCACCCCCTGTGGCCCAGGGAAAGAATGAATGAATGAGGTCAGGAGAGCAGAGGAAGGGCCAGGAGGTTCAGGAGACGCTGGTCAGAACCATGACAAGGAGAGTAGAGGGGTTGCCAGAGCAGCGGGCTCCCAGCAGAGCCCGACACTGGGGATGACCAGACAGCGCACAAACCACTCTGGGCTCCAGCGCCATTGAGCCCGGTGGGCCTCGGAATCCTTCTCAACCCGGGGCACCAACAATAAACACAACACAGCACCGTTGTGCGGCACCATTCTGAGCTGTTGAACTTGTATGCGCACACGTGCACTCACCCCGAGACGGACCCAATGATAATCCCCAGTTCATGGACCAAGAATGAGGAGTCCAAGGCAGAGGGACATTAAGTGAGTTGTGCAATGTGACCAGGAGCCCGTGGTAGGGCTGGGACTTGGGCACGGGCAGGAGCGCTCCAGGATTGTGTCTCTAACCACCTCCCCAGTGGCCTCACGGACTTAGCAAGTGATTCATTTTGTTCACTTGTTAGCATCTGTGTTTCCCTGTTACCTGCCAGTCTCCTCTCTCTACAGTATAAGCTCCTGGGGGCCGGCATGCCCCGCAGGCTCTGTGTGCACCCCCAACAATCTGCCTCCTTCATGGCCGAGCCCTGGGCCTAAGAAGCCACTGGGGAGGACCCTAGGCCCCTGTTGGGTGTGAAACACGAGCCAGCCCAACCTTCCTTGTCCACACCTTGCCGAGTGCACCGGGTCCCGTGAAGATGGGCACCTTTTCCGGCCAGGTTAGCAATCACTCTCCCACCCTCATACAGCTGCATCCTGGCTAAACCTTTCCCTCCAAGCCTCCTCCCCTCGTCCCCATCTCTGACAGGGAGGGAGCCACACTGCTCAACACTGAGGACCATGAGATCCTCCTCCTTCCCTCCACCCCATGCCAAGGATATGACTTCTGATCCTTGTTTGTCCCAGGCATCTGGTGCCAATTCAAACCCTTCTGCTGGGATTCCCAAAGGTCCTTGAGTAGAGTCTCTTGTCACCATACCCAGCCCTTACCACCCTGCCCTGGATTCGTCCGTCATATAGCTTCTTCCAGGAAGTCCTCTGGAATGCCCCCCAGGCCCCCATCTCACGCTCATCATGGTGTCTGTAACACACATGCTGTGATGTGTGGGCTATGTCAGTTGGAGAGCAGGCCCCGACCGTGAACCTGGGAGGCCAGGAGCCTCCTCTTATCCGTGGCTGTGCCCGACGGTAGAGTGTGCAACCCACCTTTGTTCAGCAAATGAATAAATGAATGAATTCCACCGGGGCCCAAACAGATCACATTTCGAGCCCACCTGGTGCTCACCTGTGCACCCTCCCAACAGGGCTGGGGCAGGCGTTACAGTCCATCACTGTCACCTTCTCATCACCCCATCGGACACAAAGCCCCGGGGGGGTGGGGGACTCTCCTGGGACACAGAACAACATCGCCCCACCAGTTGGCCCACGTTGGGGAGCCACCTGTGTTGAAACAGAAAGACGGCCGGGGCTTGGAGCCAAGAGGGCGACTCTGTCGAGAGGGGGTGTGGCGGCCGGCTGTTGAAGGACACACTCCTGGGGGAGGTATTAGCATTCCAGCCACTCTCCAGATTTGATTAGAGCCGGTAACAATCGTGGAGGAACTGCTCTGCCAATGATCGCAATGCCAGGAGCGGCCTAATTCAATAGTCTGAGGCCCAAGCCTTGTTTATACGTCTCAGGTGTGGCAGGGCCCATGCGGGAAGGAAGGGTGCTCTGGTCTACCAGACAGACGCTGTTTGTATTAAAGAGCAGGACGAAAGGGCCCTGGCATGGCCGGGGACAGGGTTCATACCCCGTCAGCACATTCCTGGCCGGCTGTGGGGGGGAGTGGGGGCACGGGCTTCTACCCAGGGACAGCCACTCTCTCCTGGTTTCTCGCTTTCACTTTTGGGGAGGGTGGCCCTCGGTGCTGCTGGTTGCCCGCCTGACCCGCCCCCTCCGCCACCTCCCAAGAAGACCTGCCATCCGGGCGGCCGCTGATAGGAAACCTCCTCCGCTTTTCCTGCCTCTCGCAGCGGTCCGGATAAGGCGAGACTCGGCCAAGGTCACGTAGCCGGTCCACGGAGAGTCGGGTCCAGGGCACGTGGCAAGAAGATGCTGCTGCAATGGCATGAAGTGCGTGGTGGGTTCCCTATCTATGGGCTCTCGTCCACCTCCAGGTTCATTCGAAAATGTAGCTCCTTCTGCAAAGCCTTCCCTGCCCTTCTGGGCTCTGCCTGCTCACCCCCAGCCCTGCCACCCAGCCCCAAGTCATAAATGTCTCCATGGGAGGCCCTGCCTACTTCTCTTGGGTGGGATTCTACTTGGGCTGCCATCTCTGTGGGCCATGTTCCTGCGGCCACACACCGTGAAGCCACGAGTAGCCGAGGCTGGCCCAGGTTGACCCCCATTCGGACCAGAGTCAGGTGAGCCCTTTAGGTTTCACTCTGGCTATAGGCCGGCGGTGACAGCTCCCCTCACCACCTCTGCAAGTGG